TAATACTTTTACTAAAAGTTACTGAATAATGATATGGATTTTTTTTCCCCATAAAATTATAAATACACATCTATTTTTGGCAGTTCACCAAAAATGAATTTTAGGTTCAGTAAGTGGTAAATTCGTGATGACATTAATGGTCAATTATAACTACAATTTTACAACTATATAAAAACTATCCTTTGAATCGTAATTTACACTATAATATAAATATGTATATGTATACTGTGTAATATAATATGTGCAATATAATATGTATATACAGGGTGTTTCGTATAATCGCAAATAATTTCAGGAATGATTCCTTGATAAATTTCCAGTTAAAAAATTTAGGGGATTTTACTCGTTTTCGAGCTCATTGCAGCGCATCGAAAAAAAAACAAAAAAAAAGTAATACCAAAAATTTTCAAGAAATTTCAAGTTTGTAAAAAAAAATTTAAAAAAAAAAAACAAAAATTGTTATTTTGACTCTTTATACATATATATATATAGTGCAGTAATTTTAATTTCCTAATATCTCAAAATAAGTAAAAATATATCTCAAATACTTCTGCTATAAATTATTATAATGTTTGGCATGACGTTACTAGTGAGAATAGAATGTTATCATTCCTGAACGTTATATCAGATGATAATATTCAGGTATGTATATTATTGTCAAAAAAATTTATTATTGATAATACTTAACTAATTATATACAGAGATAACGCACTAAATATACCTCCTCGCAAATAAAAATCAATAAAAGTAAAACATAGGATCTACACAATAATGCTTTCATTGGGTAAAATTGTTAATTTTTTGCAATATATAGAAATGTTCTATTTAATTTTTATAATTTTTCATTAAAATATTTAGAAAATGTAAAAATTTTTGAAGGTTCTGATAAAAAAATTTATTATGTATCAAAATTTCTGCGTCTATCATAAGAAATTTGAAAATTAAAAATAGGAAAATTAAGTGAAATTACCTGTACCTCTGTGTTTTCGTTTAATGAAAATAAATATTTGTTTTCATATATTATTGGAAGAAAATAAAGAATCAAAATTAGATTTACAAAAAATTTCAAAAAAAAAGTTCTTACTAATTTCACTCTGTCCGTGTTCATGTTTACAAAACTTCCACACTTGAAGATAGAAAGCCGAAATTTATTATGTACATAGATTTTTACTAGAAACTTATTTCCGTAGAAGAAAATTTTTACCGATTTCCCCTCTAAAAGTAATAGTCCCCCAAAGATCTAAGTGCAAGTTATTGTTACGACTCCACTAAAATTTTTTAAATTCCGCAAGCAAAGAAAGGTAGACAAAAAAACAAAATGGCTGTTCAAATTAACCATTATCGAAATCAGTTTTTTTAAAAATTTGGAAATCGTTTTTCTTCCGAACAGCAACATGTGCAGAAGCCTGAAATTTTAGAATTTAGATATTAACACATTTTTTATTTCTTTATAAGAAAATTTGTAATTGCTTTTTGAAATTTGTAAAATTTGAATTTTCGGCACCTTTTACTTCCGGAACTGTAAGCTTTCAAATTTCTATTAATGTAGAAAGCTATCAATTATATTTGTTGATTTTTGTTAACTAACGCAATTAACCCTTTAATTTGAGCATTATATTAATGCCTCTTTAATTTTTTTTGTTTTATTTCAAACATTGCATACATTGCTCATCTCTATTGTATGTATTTTTTGAATTTCTTTGGTATATGAATCAAAGTAATTTTAATAATGTAGTAGATGTTTTCAAAAGCAGTTTTTTCACTTGTTGAAGGGGAAAGTGCTACTTTACAAATCAGTCGTTTGACTCAGCTTTTTTTTTAAAATCAAAATAATTACTTTTATAAATGATAAAAATTTTGTCAAAATAATTTATGATAATTTACTAATTCTCTAATTTAGAAATTTTTTTGATTATATGATTACGAGTATCATTATTTAAAATTTATCTGATTCAAAATTGTAATTTATTACCTATATTCTTTGGAAATTGTTACACCAATATATTCCTTCATACTCTAATAGTTGTACCGCATGCAAATATTACTTAAAGTGATATCATTACCTCTAAATCCTATCGTGGTAGTCGTAGATGTGGTTATTGAAGCGGTACCAACTCTGAAGTGATAGCAAAAGCTGTAAAACTTTTCATTCCACTTGTTACTCTCGCCTCAGTATTTGCATTCGATATAGGCTATTACGCCAAGGCCTTTCAGTTTAAATTATAAATAAAATAAAAGGATCAGCAAATTCAAAGAGTTAATTAATTAATTTTACTCTTTTAATTTTTATATCGTTAGTTGGGCTTGTTGTCTTTTTCAGAAAAAAAGAATAACAAATATAAGATTTTAATACAATTAATTGAAGACAACCGTTATATATTATCAAAGGTTTTTCGAGATAATCACACAAGTATAAAAAAGTTAATTAAAGGGTTGATAGTTAATTAAAGGTTTCTGAAACAACATTTTAAAACACTTTTCAAAATCCTGAAATAGTTTAGAAATCTAAGAATTTACATTTATTAAAACGTATTTAAATGTATTTAAAATTTAAAATTTTATTTTAAGTCTTAGAGCTAAATGGAATTGTTAAATTTTATAAACCTCTGCTCTTCTGTCTACGTAAATTTTCTATTGGTATTTTCATAGGCTCTTGAACTAAGTTGCCTACTTCTATTTAATGAAATCTTTTATTATAATTTAATTATTTTTTTTTTAAATTTTAATTATAAAATTGAAAAATGAACTAAAAAACAATAATCATATTAAGAACTCAACAGAAACCTTAAAAAAAACTGAACTTGCATATTTTTCTAAGAAAATAAATGTACTCCGAAACTATTTTGAGTGCTGTATTTTTCAAAAAGAGCAAGCCTAAATATTAAACCGGCCTGCAGAGCAGAATTATTCACAAGAACATAAATATATATTATAACTAAATAATTTATTGTAGTTTACTTGAGCAGTTGATGTTTTAAACCCAAATGAAGTATAAAGCTTAAAATAAAGTTAGGTTTAAACTCATGATTTATAAAGCGGCACTTTTCCCTTAAACAAATCAAAATACTGACTTTAAAAACAATTAACTTCATTATTTAAATGACTTTCATTCATATACCAAAATTTTTTAAATGATTACATACATTTAGCATGAGACAAAAAAAATTTAAAGAACCGAAAATACACTTCATATAAGATAAAAATAATCAGGGCCGAAAATTCAAATTTTGCAAATTTAGAGAGGCGATAACTTGTGAGGGGATGGCGGGATTTTCTAACGAAATAATCTGTTTATTAGCTGATAAAATTTTAGACCTTTACAACTAACCGTCTATAAGGAAAACGATATCAAAGGTTCGAAAAAAATGGCTTTAGGCAACGATTAATATTAACGGCTATTTTATCATTTTAATACTCAGTTGTTATATACCCCGGTAAAATACGCTGCCCCCCTGCGTCCGCTGAATTTAAAACATGTTTGTGGTTTCATGATAACAAATAGTCAAAAAATGCAATTTTTAGGACATTGAAGCTATAACTTTTTGAGGAGGGGAGTTAGGTAAAAAGGAAATAGGTTTTCAGTAAAAATCTGTTTATATGCGCAATTTCAGCTTTCTTTCTTAAAGGTTTAAGAAGTTTTGTAAGCAGACGGTCTAACGAGCAGACGAACGGATGGGCGGACAGAGTGAAACTAATAAGCACTTTTTTTTAATTTTTTTTTGAAAAGTTCTAATTAAATTACCAATCAAACGAAAGATTCATAATCGTTTTTCTATAACTAAAAGTACAATATATCCGCATTTTTTAGAAAAACTTTGCCTTTAAGCCAAATGTAAGTTAATATCAAGGGTTTAAATGGAATTGTAGTTTCAGCTAACCTTAATTTAAATAATGAATATCAAATACACATTGATACTTATAGGTACATACATATATTCTAAAATTTACAAAATTGTGTAGTTTATAACGATAATTGTCCCTTATATTTATGTATGCATGTAAGTGTGTGTTTTATTTTGATTAAATTTTATTTCGACAAGCTTAATATTAAATAACTTCGTATAGGACGATATTGTAGCATATTTTTTTTTATTTTTTTGTATTAAGCTTCACTTATTTTGTTTTTATTTCGTATATATTGTATTTTTTGTGAAAATAGACATAAAAAGTACATATGTATATATGTCAGTTAATAAAATTTGCATATATGCAAACAAGTTGACACACATGTATTTTGGGTATACAAATTAGTACTGTTGTTTTATAAAGTGTTCTTATTAAAAAAAACAATATTTATAATTACTTATCAATTTTCGTCATTTTATATTATTGTTTTGATAAATACAAAATATAAGTATGTAAGTAATTAATTTATATGTGTATCTATAAATAATATGTATAAATATTTGAACATATTTCAATTTATTTGCTTCATTTCTATATGAGTTTTATATTTTTGTCATCTTCCCTGATTTTGATTACGCATATTTTTCTATAATAAATGTGGGTATTAATTTTATTATTGTTGTCATTCACATTGTATTTTATATGTATATACTTATATTGTCACACCTAAGTATATATACATAGAAAATAATTTTAAGTATATTATTTTTGACTCTTAAATCTATAACCTCCTATTGTTTTCATTAATATTTTTTCGTATATGTATAATTATTTTACTGATTAAACGTTTTAAATTTTCTACCGTTATACATATATAGGATTAAGTTGACGGTAATTATTAACATTTCCATTAGTGTGAATTATAGTATATAATATTATAATTTACATATATATATATATATATAGAGTAGCTAGATTATACTTTAAAATCATATAAAATTATAAATTCACAAATACAAATAGGTATTTTTTATTTATATTATTGCAAAAGATAAATACAAAAAAACATATTTAAAACAAATAAATAAATTATATTTTAAATAAATTGATAATATTGAAAAAATTATTTTCATTAAAAGTTTAATCGTTGGATTAATAACACGCTAGTTTATAAATTAAAAAGGAAGAAAATTAAAATAAAACAAATATCAGAAAAGATTTAATATTAAAAAATTTGCTGTTTAAAAATATTTTATATAATAATTTAAAGAAAAGTGAAAATTTAATGAAATTCTAAAATTAGTTTTACTTAAAAATATATAAGAAAAAGGTGAGGTTATATTACATTAGTTTTTAATGTTATACAATTTAATTATGTTAATAAAAGTTGAATAGCAAAAGTTTTAAGTTAAAATATTATTCAATAAAATTTATTAAATAAAAAAATTGCTACAAAACATATCTAAACAATATTTTTTAGGATATTATGTAATATTTGATATTTGGAGAAAACCCTTTATCCAAAATAAAAAAAAAATTAAATATATTTTGCAATTAGTGAAAAAACTTAATAAATTCACATTAAAAAATTAAAATTTATATGTGTTGAGGCAAATCTGAGTAAAAACTGCGTGAATATGTATATACATTGTTTATGCGCATACAAGCATAGTTCAATGTTATATTCTATATATTATTACTGTTGTTATCTTTATGCATAAATGTGCAATTTTAATGCGATTTGGGAATTTGAAACTGCATTTTGGAAAGATTTTCTAAATTGATTTTTTCATATATGCGTTTATACATTTACCAGCATTAAAATTGCAATTTTTTTATACCAATTAGCATTTTATAACCAATGATATGTATAAATATGGCAAAAAGGAATACTTCCTAATTCATAAATATTTCCTTCCCTAAATAAGTAAAATCCCTATAAATCCCTAATAAATAAAGGAAATAAAATTGGTGTATTGATTATTATGGGGATAGAAATTAAAATTTGCATAATTGTTTGCAGGACCAGGATTAAAAGTTGTTAGGTGGATTGTGAAGTTTACTTCTATATTTATGATAGAAATTTTTTTTCTATTTTTGTACATTTTGTTAGAATTTTTTTTTCAAAAATTTTACCATTTAAACAAATTCAACTTCGTCGCATTTTCTAAATTGTTTCGAACAAGTTTTAAAAGATAAATTATTTTTAAACGGTAAATTTGTACTTTTAGTTATGTTTTACTTAAGTAATATTTGTTCATTATTGATTGGTGTATGCAAGAAGACTTTAAATAAAATTTAATTTTTAAATAAACTCTTAAAGGAAGTTTTGCTATTTTTGGCTAATAATGCTTGAAGTTATTTAACGGTAAATTTATATTTTAGCGATTATTCGACATGTTGGTTTATTTATTTAAAACTTTAGCGATTACGAAATGTTCTAGTAACTTAGCCAAATAAATAACGAATACACCCAAATTATTTCGGGCATAGCTTTCAACATTGAAAACTTAATAGCATTTAATTTTTCGTTAAAGTCAAGTCGATTTAAGCGTAATTAAAGTTATTTTAAAAAAAAAAATTTTAATATTTCAACTAAGTCGAAGATTTTATATAAGTTTATTACTCAACAATTTTATTTAATTCTATATGCACTTTTAAATTGTTTAGAAAGCCTGTATTGTTAGTTTCTAATAACATTTTTGAGTTTTGAAAAATTAAATTAATAAAACTAGACCTACAGGAAACTCTTGCTTAAAGTACTAACTTGAAGAAGTCTGTGCATTTCAAAAAACCTTTTTTTTTTTAAACTTTAGCAGGTTGAAAGCGCATTTTTCAGACTTAAAAATACAGTCCGAATTAAACAAAATTTGGCTGGATTATAAATTTTGAATATATGCAAGTATACTAAGTTTTTAACATAAATTGATCTAAGATTTTAGCTTATTATACGTTATTCTTAAATTATCAAGAATTTGATTATACCTTAATTAAGTTATCAAAAATTTGATTTTTATTTGTATCAGCAATCTAAACTGGATCAGCAAAATAAATGTGCAAAACTTTTTTTCACAAATATAGACTGCTTTTTACAAGCTATAATATAGTAAGGAGAATTTTGCGTTTCTAATGTTACTTTTAATTAAGAGTAACATGATCTAGAACCAAATTATTTATAGTATATTTTGCGAAAGTTTTTATGAATCTTAAGACACTTGAATAAAACTCTTTTAAATTAAGATTTCGAGCTATACATTTTATTTTGTGAATCAATTTACAACATTTTTCAAGGTACTTTTATTTCCATTTGATTTCGTATAGTATCTGATAGAAAATTTTGAATCAAGGAACTTACAAAAGAACATAAAGAAGGAATGCTTTTATTATTTACGTATGTATGCCAACACAAAAAAAATGCACAAAATTAAGTTTACTCTTTGAAAAACAAAATTAGTACTCGTATTCCTTTAATTCAAATTACATACTTAAATCAAAATTATTTTGAATACTTAAATATTGCTAAAAGTTCAAATTAAAAGCATATTAATTATTAATGCTTATTAATTAAGATTTTTCTTAATTTGTTAATAATTACACACAATATTGAATGTTACGTAATTCATATTTCTTATTCCAGCATTTTGTTTAAAAATTAAGTTTTTCCGAATAATTACAGCTCTTAGGTATTACAGATTTCAATATCAATTATCCAGTTTTTTATAATACTATTAATACTAGTAGTATGTCTGGTTTAGTCGTTTAATCATATATTCACGCGTTTTAACATTATAGTTTAAACTATTTAGAAGTGTAATTAAGAAGCTATATATTTATTTATTTTTCAACTATCTAAAATTAAAAAGTTTAATTTATATTGAAATTGTTTGCTCTGCACAATTTTAATACAAATTATTTTCCCATTTTGCCTACATTTTGGTTTCCTTTAAAATGATCCAGGAAATTTATAATCTCTTTTAAACGCGTTTTATAATCCATAATTATAGTTACGCGAGCTATAGGTTACCGACTCGTGTGCTAGTTTTAAAATGAATATTACTAATTTAGATTTTGATAATTACGTTGACCTTTTACTTTTATTATTATCACATATTAATTATATTGTATTAAATTTATTTTTAACTAGTTATATAACTATATGTATATACAACATACATATGTTGAGATTAAATTTACAGGTTCACAGTTAAGATGATATTAAGAACCATAATAAGAAATAAATTAAGAATATTATATCAGTTCGGTTTATAAATAAAAAATCACATGTTTTATAAAATTTTTCGGCACATAGCAATGCAATATTTAAATAAAGTTGTGTCAAATCAATGGTTTGTATTGTAGCAGTTTTCCCTTCAGCAAGTGTAAATATTGCTTCTAAAACCAACCTATGTACTCGTATACCTACTACATCATTTAAATTATTTATTTATTTATTTATTTATAATAACATTATCAATACCCTCGGCTGCCAGGGCCATTATGGGTTTCAAAGTTAATTTATCTCAATATTTAAAGTATGTTGGTAAAAAAAGTTTTGTTTTAAGTTAGAATTCTAATATTTTTAAGTTTTCTTTTCTTGAGCATTATGATCTTTACAAATTAATTAAATCAAATTCCACATATTAAATAGGTCAAAAATACTCTGAATAAAATTAATATTCTCAGTTATTGGAAGCAAAATTTTATAGAAATCTTTGGAGCAGGACTTCAAATGATACCTAGTAACAGAGCATTCCATAAAAATATGTTTAATATTCAAAATATTGACACAAAAGGAACAAGTTGGCTCCCTAATATTATTAAATACATAGTTTTTCGTGAAAAACATATGACCTAGACGCAATCGGCAAATTTTTGTTTCTACAAACTGTTACCTATCTTGCACATCGAAAGAACCACGTGCGGCCAATAGCATTTAATCAAGCTACGAGAGGTACACCACCTCTGCCGTAGTCGATCGAAAATAAATAAACCTATTGAACCTATAGCAGATCTGGCCTCTCTATCCGCAGAAACATTCTCACTTATGTTGCAATGTCTCGGTATCCATACTATTTTAATTCTTTTTGTGTAAGAAACAATAATATTACGAATCGCCTGAATGATTGGCTTTCTATTTCTAGAATTATTGATTACATTCATAATATTCAATATTATTATTGACTCGTGATCGAGCCCATTACAGTACAGCAGTGTCTGGTACAAGGCAGCGATCGTATAAGGCGGTTGGGACAAACCAATGGTTTGTATTGTAGCACTTTTCCATTCAACAAGTGAAAATATTACTTTTAAAAATAATCTGTGTATACCTACTACACTACTAAAATTATTTTCCTTTATACACGAAACTATTTCTAGAATTGCACATACTTAGGATGAACGATTTATGCAGTCTTTGAAATAAAGAAAAAATAAATTTAAAGAGATGTTAACATAATGTTCGATTTAAAGGGTTTCTTGTTGGAGTTAAGAAAAATAATTATATATTTTAATTGTATGGAATTTACCGTCAGTTTTCTGCGCTTATTGAAATTTGAAAAAGCTTGAGGTTTCGCAAATATAACATGCCAAAAATTCAAATTTTACAAACTTTGTGAGGCGATAACTTGAGAGAGGGTGGAAATGGGAAAAAGTTCGCTTCTAACGAAATGAACTATGTATTTATGACTGCATAAAAGTTGTTAAAATTTCAGGCTCCCCACAACTTACGGTGTAGAAGAGAAATGGTATCAAAAATTTGTGAAAATTGGATTTTAGATAACAGTAAACTATAACGGTCATATTGTTTTTTTAAAGTTCAAGTATAGTATGTCGTGGTAGAGAAAGCCAGCCGCTATATTTCTGCGTTTACAAAATTTGCACAATGCATATAGAAACAAAATGCATTAAATAAACAAAAAATGCCGTTTTTAGCTTTTTAAAGGGGGTATAACTTTTAGAGTCGAAGAGATAGGTAATATTTTAAGCGCTTATCTATATCTGAATACATCAGAAATCGTCGTTTCTGAGTTATGTCATTGTTGCAGCAAATACGAGTGATAATTTGATTAAGTTTAAAATAAATAAAGCAATGGTTTGTAAAACCGTGCTTTTCTTCATATACTTTCATTCATATACTAAAATATTGCAAAGATTGCGTACGTTTAGAATGAGCAATGTACGAAATAAAAAAAAAATCGAAGCAGCTTTAACATACAGCCCGAAATAAAGGGTTAAGTGTATGAGTTAAGAAAAATAATTATATTTTTAATGGCAAGGCTTTTATTGAAAAGTTAAATTAACTATTTCTTAGTGTCTAAAATCTGTTAAAATTTCAGATTTCTACAACTACAACCTAAGAAGAAAAACGATATCAAAAAATTTGGAAAAAAAAATAATTTTAGATATTAGTAAATTTGAACGGCCATTTACACTGCGGGAGAAAAAGAGAGAAACTACTTTTTTTAAGTTTGCAGAATTTAAAAGATGGCATTTTTAGGACTTTGAGGAACTTTCAAGAGTGTAGATAAATATGTCCAAGCACAAACGGACGAACGGGCAGAGTGCAACTTTTTATTTAAAATTTATTTTTTGGAAACGTGCTAAAAAGATGAAAGCCCTTTTCAAATTTACTTTACTATTGCAAATGAACGTAAAAGGGGATATTACAGCCTACGTATGTTCAAAGGGTGTACTAAATTTGTCTTACCGTTTGTAACGCTAAGATATAATGGTCTGAGATATAGACTTATGTTAATATTTCTGATCAGCATTCTGAGTCGATTAGGCTTTGTCTGTCCGTCCATCTGTCCGTAAGTTTCAACGGTAACTTAAAAACTAATTTAACTAAGTTCACCAAATTTTCACAAATGACTTATTATAGAAAATGTCAGAACCCTATTTAAATTGGTTATTATCGTGGTACTGGTTGTCCTGCCATACAACTTCCTAATTTATTTGGCTATATCTCAAAAACTATAAAGCTGTGGAATTGAAATTTCGCACAAATTAATATATTAATAGGACCACTGTGTTTGATAAAAGTCGTTGAAATTGGTGGGCCACTTGTTCAATAGTTATTTGGCTATATTTCAGAGACTATAAAAACGACTAAAAGTCGTTGGAATTGCTTGGCTCTTTCTGGTAGCTGTCAAACAACTCCAAAAGTTATTTGGCTATATTTCGGAAACTATAGAAGCCATGGTATTGAAATTTCACACAAGCGAATATATTAGTAGGGCCAATGTATCTGATAAAAGTCGTTGAAATTGCTTGGCTCCTTTTGGTAGATGTCATATAACTTCAAAAGTTATTTGGCTATGTCTCAGAAACTATAAAAGTTGTAATATTGATATTTCACACAAGCGAATATATAAGTAGGGCCAATGCGCTTGATAAAATTCTTTAAAATTTCTTGGGTCTTTCTGGTAGCTGCCATACAACTTCAATAATAGTTTGGCACACATAGTATTTTTAAAAACACAGTACTAAAATTTTGCATAAATTAATATGGTAATACCGCAACTTAAAGTCATAGTCTGTCCCATAGTCAGTTATGGCAGATTTATTCGCACATAATATAACAAATTCGTACGGGTATCACAGAGTTGACAAGGTCAACTCTATTTTTTCTCGTTTTGTATTTTAGGTGAAATTTCGTTTAGAATTTCAGGTAAATTCTCGTTTTTATTTGAATTTCCTTGTACAATAGTTGTTGTCGTAATTTTATCCTTTATGAATATAACATCTCTAAATGTTATCCTTTAATTTCCTCTCTTTATGTTTCCTTTAATTTCCTCTCTTTATGTTTCCTTTAATTTCCTCACTCTACCCTACAAGTGTACCTTTAGAACCTTTTGTATGCCATTTTAATCTTTTCTTCTTCGGTATATGAACATAAACTTCTTTTCCAAATATTTGTAGATGGCTTATCAAACCTTGCTTGCTAAAATACATTTCATAAGAAGTTTTTTTGTAATAGAACTCGATCCTGTTCTGTTCAACACGTACACAGCACAACTTATTGATTCAGCCCAAAAATATTCATCTAACTTGGTTTGACATTTTATAGTGGGACCTGCTTCAACCAAAGTTCGAATGTCTCTTTCTACTTTCCTATTCTGCTCTGGGGTGTAAGGTACAGTTCATGTTTTATTCCCTATCGGGATAATTACTAATTTCTTTATTTGATATCTCCTTTCCATTATCTTAATTTTTCGTCGTTAAGTTAAGTTTCGATAAAATTAATCTTAATTTTTCTGCTAATCCACATTTTTGTTTTAAGAAATATACAAATCTTAAATGGGAATAATCATCTTTTATTAATAAAAAGTGCTTTGCTACACCAATTGAATTTATTTCCATGGGTTCAATAAGTACTATTTCTCCTGGATAATTTGCTTTTGTTTCTGATACTGGAAATGGAGATCTAAGAATTTTTCCTTTAGTACAACCTTCGCATTGAAAATCTTCAATATTTCCTTTAAAATTTATTTTGTGTGATTCTACTATTTCTTTACGATGACTAATATTTTGATGACATAATTTTTCGTGCCAAATTTGAATTTCTATTTCTTGGGCTATATTAGCTTGTGTAATCAATCCTTTTTCATATTCAATTTGAGTAACAATAGGTTCATTTTCATAACATATTGTGCACCCAATAATAAACAGCTGATGATGAAAACAAATTATATTTTAGTTGTGGTACATACAAAACATCCCTTATCTCATATAAGTTTTATTATTAAATACGTTTATATTTATTGATCCAGATCCTGTTGTATGTATAATCTGCCCATTCCAAATTGTTCTTATGTTCTTTTATATCCTCAATTTTATCAAATTACTTTTTATTTGGACACATATGGTGAGTTGCATCACTATCCGAATACCATATTTGAATTCATCATTTACAATAAATGCGTTATTTTTGGTGTTATTCAAACATTGACTACCTTTATCTTTATATTTAAAATATTTGTTATTTTGAAATCTGCATTCATTTTTCCAATGCCCTTACTTTCCACATTTGAAACACTCGCTATTTTTAAATTCTTTCACATCAAATTTTCTTTTGGAAAATTTATTGCACTTTACCTTCCACTTCACCACGTGTGCTTAGTTTTAACCGTTCTTCTTCGTTCTACAAACTTGCCGTTAAATTATTTTTGGTTTTATCTTCTTTTCATGTACTATCTCAAACCGAGTAAAAATAATGATACATTTCAGGTAAACTAGTCAAAATTTTATCCACTATCATATTCTCAGAAATTTCTTCGCCGTATGATTTTAATTCATGAACTAAATATTTTAATGTAGCTATATTAACCGATTTTCTCATTTTTCATATGTATATGTATAAAATTTCCGCTGTAAATTATGTGAAGACCACTTTCTGAAATTTTTGAATATAATGCGCCAATTCTTATCAGCATTTTCTCTGTTGACTTGCATGATATTAAAGGTGGTAAAAATTTTTTCATTTACAGATGTTACTATATTTTTTTGAATTTTTAAGTCCTCTTGATTATATTTATTAATTTTTTCTTGTGTAGAAATCCTGGTGACATTTCTTTTTCTCCACTACATAATAAATTCTTTCAGCCTTTAATAATTCTGTTATCTGAAATTCCTTTCATCCAAATTGATAATTTCGAAACCTTTCCTTGATCTCTCCATTTTGTTTTTTATTAAATTATTATCCTTGTTGAACTTTTTTCCTTATTCCCTTATTAAACCTCTTTTTTTTATTTTACTTTAATTTTTAGGAACCTGGGCCCATAACCTGTTGGGTTTACCCTTTAATGTATTCCCCGTATTTAAATTAAAGTGAAGACAACAATATATTCACTATATACTTTGTTAAGTTGAAAGTAAACTTTATTCTTCTGAATGCAAAATTAAACTAAACAATAAAATTTATTTGTGATATAATTATCCAATTTATATAAGCAATTCACAATAGCAGAGATAGCAGAGTATAAAGTTAACTTTAACACATATTATGTATGTATATTTATGTACATATGTTGTGTAGGGAAAATCCCGAAACTTTTTCGTTTTTTAATAAAGAAGATGAAGAATTTATTATTGTTTGTGTTTTTTAATGATAACTTGCTCTTCAAAAATAAGATGCGATTTTATTATCGTTGACTCAATAAAAAAAATAAAAATTTATATTCAATATACATACATATATGTATATACATATGTATAAAATTTGACATTTTTTAAAAACGAAAAACATTGTTGCATAAAATTTTCGAAATTCCATTGATTTCAAACAGAATTTGTAAAGCGATTGATTTTTGTTTTCAAAAACCTTTGATCTCGTGTCATATTATAATAAATATTTATAAAATAAAACTTGTCATTTAATCCTCTTATAATTGATATAAATTGCTGTTTTATAAATATTAATTAAAGTTCATTCATTTAAAAATATTATAGGTTCACAAATACTACTTTAATATGTCGTTATCAAAAATTGACGTTATTGCTGCAAATATCAATAATAATAATAATCATCATCATCACCAAACAAAAGAAATCGTAGAAGAACAGGAAAAATATTTACGAGAAGCAACACAATATTTTCGTGGAATAGAAAAACCTTTGAAATTGGGACCAATAGTTAATACATTGCAAGAATTAATCGATGCTCTTTATGTAGAGTTTGAATCAAATTATGTTAATATTGAAATGGTAAATCATTTAATGTTATCATATAAATCAAACCCAAAAGAATGGCAAAAATTTGCAAAATGGGATCGTTACAAGTAAGTTATAATAAAACGTTGTGTTATTATATTCTTATATACATATGTATGTGTATGTTTACATAAAATAAATAAGAAAAATGCTAATATGTATGTGCAGAGATATAGGTACATAAATGCGTATTATATGACCATACCTTTAAATAAATTATATTGACATGATACTTTTTATTTTGTACATATATATTTGCTTTTATATTATGAAAAGGCATAAGTTTTTTAAAGGATTTAAGAATTAAAATTGACTGATGACTTAACAAAATATGTACGTTATAGTTACCCTTCAAAAAACTTATACAAATATAATTGTAGACTGTATTAATGAATTCTACAAATACATATTTATTATTCTGTTATAATCCGTCATAGAAAACGAACAGTTTAACAAAAAAACTAATCAAATGAAATTTCAAATTAATCCCCAAAAATATGCAATTTTTCTTGAATTTTTAACATTGTTAGATTCGATAACTAGCTATTTTAAATTTAACTCATCACATAATATCTCAGATAAAATGATTTAATATCTCATATATATTACTATAGTGAGTAATGTAATATAATTTAAAAAAAAAAGTAATATAAAGGAGTGTGTGAATACAGGTTTGCATGTTAGGTACGTTACAGCATGTTAATTGTGTACATTGAACAAAATTCGTAACCATAGGCAAGCCAATAATTTAAGAATGATTAAATTTAGACATTTTTTCAAATTTTAGCCTTCTTTTCAATTAATTAATGTGTAAACTATGTGTTAGAGTAAATTTACATATGTACATATTATGTAAATAAAAAATTACACGTAATAATAATTTAGAGACAAATGTAATTAACAATATAAGAATTATTTATATATAATTAACTGCTTAAGATCATTTTTGTATTTGTTTTATACATACTTTTTGTAGATAGATAAGAATAAGATTTTGTATTTGTTTTATACATACTTTTTGTAGAAATAGATACTTTTTGTAAGATTAAAAAAGAAAAATGCGAATTAAAAACAAAATAATTTTTAAATTAGTTTCCTTACGAAAAAGTGCAAAACTGCATTCAAAAATGAATTTTATTGCAATTCGGAGTTAATGCAAATTCATTGATGAATTTTAGCATTTCCGACGGTATTATATAATGTTATTATTCAATATAACTATACATATATCATTTAAAATTAAACTATGTTTTTGGAATATTTTATAGTTGAATACATATACGTATAAATAACAATATTATAAATATTTTGGGTTCAATCTGGTTCAATGATATTTTTTTTATAAATTTCCTTGTGAGAAATATGAAAATTCAGAGCAAAATAATTCGAGCATATTTACATTTTGTCTTAATGGCGTTCTAAAATACAATTTAAACTATTTTAAGATTTATTTTAACTGCCTATATATGTACATATGTATATGCAATTTATAAATTTGTTCCAATTAACCTTTTTGATATATGAATTTTATTTTTTTTTGTTTATTTACCAATTATAATTAGCGTATTTGTTTTTTTGGTGTTGTTATTTATATAGCAAAATATGAATTGATGAATTCTATACATATATGTATATAAAGATGTAGGTACATTTTCGTATTTCCAAAAATATTTGCAAATTTTATTGCGTACATATTATAGTGTATATTGTATGTATGTCATGTTCAAGTATGTGTATTAATTTAATATGAATAATTCTTGATTAATATTAATTAATGTTTTTCATAATATAATTAAAAAGTTTCATTTAAAAGTTCTTATGCATAATATACATAATACTATAGATTAAATACATAAGTGCTTAATCACTGATAATAAATACAACATATATCAATAATTTTATTAATTAAATAAAAGATTAAAAATTATTTTTATAATTTTAAAAAAAATTTGTTTAATAAATATAAAATTCTTTCTACATATTTTGATTACTACGAATTAATTCTTGATATGCACTTATAAAGGACTAAATAAATAACCCATGTACATATCTATGTATATCTATAGTCAAAGAAAAAATAAAAGAGTACAATTTGAAATTCATACACATTATGTGCATGCAGACTACATTGTAAGTACGTACACAATAAATGATATTTAAGAAAAATTAGTTAGAGCAATCATTTAAATATCGTTTGTTATACTGTCGTATTAAAGTTATAAAATAACTTTAAATTTGCTTAAATACTCGTAGCTGTTTATTTGCTTTATAGTATATTAATTTTCCTAACCTATTATATGTAAAATTTAAAAACAGCTATTGACATTATCAAAGGGTTTTGAAAATGCAAATGGACTTACATATGTCACTTTAAAAATAAACCATCCATGTACAGTATACTGTACCTACTTTAATGTTTTCCCGAATATTCGTATTGAAACATTCGTTATAACTAAAAACTAAGTTTCTGGGTTTCATTTATGCATTGTTTAGCATTTATAATTAGCCAAATATTTTTCATCTTCTGTATATAACCATATTATGTACATATGTATGTATATACATACATAATATTTTATTCGATATATTTCTATATATGTATGTATAGAAAGTTTTACTAAAAACAATGTTATTCCCAACAGGTACACTAGAAATTTAGTTGATGCTGGCAATGGAAAATTCAATTTAATGATTCTTTGTTGGAATGAAGGCCAAGCATCGGCAATACATGACCATGCCGATTCGCATTGTTTCATGAAAATGTTGCAAGGAGAACTTTGTGAGATTCGTTACGATTGGCCTACTTCGAAAGAAATATTAATAGATAATAATGCTTGTATTGGGTTTGCTGATGAAACAGAAATGGATGGCGCAAACGAACTTAAAGAAATTGGAAGAGCTACAATGGGATTAAATGATGTTCGATATATAAATGGTAAGTACTTGTGATTCTATGTGTTATAAGTTCTTATGCACACACATGCATGCAAATATTATAATTATTATACACTTAATAAAAGGTTCCAATTTTAATTTGGAAAACTATAAAACTTAGGCATATACATATACATATATACACACATACATTTACACAAATCTTTTGAAGGGTACTTTAGACAAAATAGGTTCGCTGACTATTGCCGGATTACTAAAATAAATAAACTGTTGCCTATTCTCCTTCCCTTTTTTAATTAGCAAGATCGATATTTCTAAAGATGTCAAGTTTATTTTGCTCGCAACACCCCTGAAAAGTATATATGTGTATACATTGGTAGAAAAAGGTTCCAAAAAATTCATTGATAAGAATTTTTCTCAAAAATTTATTGTATATCAATTGCTTTTTAGATTTTGATCAAAAATTAACTCCTAGAAATAGTTGAAGAGACCTGTAAGAAAACGCTTTCAATTATTATAATTATTATAATAAAGAACCAATAAATCTTTTTCTTGCACTTTAATTTTATGGAAATTCTCTATAATTGAAACGTATATTCTTATTTTTTGTTCGTAAAACATATTCTGCTGTTATATATTTCCCTTTATCCACTATTCTCAAAATTTGCATAATGGATCTGTTCATACATACATATATTGGATATTTAGTTTTTTTCGGAATATGTAGACCCAGCAGCTGCAAACAAACGATTGAATTAAAAATATAAAAATTAATTATATCAGACTTACTTCCAATTTATCAAGCTTTATTATACTGATATTTGATTAATTTCTTTATAAAAACTTTCTGATTCAAATTTAAATTACTCATAAGAAAAAACTGGTTAATTAAAATCATACCGTTTAATTTGTTATATCGTATTTTTAATTCGATATTTCTTCGATTTATGTTTGATGGGGTTGTTCAATAGTAAAACAGTTTGAATATGTGGTTATTTTTACAGATATATTGAAGTATTTGTAGAACTGTATGTAGATAACATAAATGGTACTTTATTTTGAAATTAAATTGAAAAAAGATATATTGAAAATATTTACTTTTATTTTTTTATTTAAACAGATAATTTGGGTTTACATAGGGTGGAAAATTTAAGCCATACTGATGGTGCTATTTCGTTACACCTTTATTGTCCACCATTTAATTCTTGCTCAGTTTTTCAAAAAAATTCAGGAAAAAGGATGAAATGCCCAGTAACATTTTGGAGTAAATATGGCGTTCGTCAAGATAAAGTAAGAATTTTAAATTTTGACGTTATACTTAAATAAACTTGTAAAACGATTTTTTTAATTCTTGTTGCAGTCAACAGCCTAACTTATTAGGGATAAGCTTTCTAATTTTATATTTAATGGTGTACACACTATGACATCTTACTTTTAATTCTATCAATAAATTTAAGAAATGAATTCATATTTTCTGTTATAGTTATAATAAAATATTTATGTTTAATAGAATATTAAGCTAAAAGATTTTATTGTTTTAAATAAAAGACAGTTTCTTTTAATAACAGTGTTTATTTCAATGAATTTTTAAAAAGAGGTTAAATTATGTAAGTAAAACATTTCTAAAAAACTAAAACACTTATTAAGCAGAAATCAAAGTAATTTTGTTTTTACACTTCTGGAATATTATTAACACCCTTTGACAGTACTGACCTTATAGTTTTCATTAATTGAGGTATTTGGCCTAAATGCTTATCTACACATTTAATTGCACATCTTTCGAATTTATCTGTATATCTTGCAACTTCTGTTTCATTTGGATTGGGTGACATTTCGGCTCTGATATCATCATTACATTGCTTAAATAAAAAAATAGTTTGTAGTTTTTAGGTATATGGGGAAATTTAGATTTATGTCCGTCCATATTGCGGTTGTATTCGAAAATTATTGAAATTTTTAAATATTTTATAAAAAATTACCATGACACATCTTTGCAACCTTTGTTGATAAGATTCTAATTCATTTTGCACGAACCTTTGAGCTCGAGTAACTGGTGTTGTACAACGTTCCACGCAACGTTGTACAACATCTACACTAGAATTTTGATCTTCGCAGCATTTAGCGGCACACCGATGCATTTCAACCTAGTGTTACAAAATTTCATTATAACCACAGTCTTGATTATCAAAAAACTCAACCTGCATTTTTCTTAAATATTCTTTGTCAGTGTCATCAACCACTTTGGTAATTTCCTGTTCAATTCTTTGTCTCTGCTGTTCTATCATTTCAATAACGAATCAAGTTACGTTTTATAAAATTATTTTAATAAAGCTAAAAAAAACAAATCGAATCACGATGTTTTTATTATCAGTGAATGAAGGAACCAGTTAAATTTGAAGTTTTAATCTTCATAAATTAATAAGGATGGCACAGTTTGACAGTACTGGAAATGAAATCTGAATTTTAAAATCTGAATTATGATACATTTTGATACAAATTTTTTTGTCATTATTTCATTAGCAATATTTTTATTTTTGATGAGTAAAAAATTTTGTGAAAAAAATTAAAATAACGAAAGAATTATAATTAAAATTAACAAACGAAAATAATGGTAACACAGAAAGTTAAAAAAGTAAAATATTTGGAATATAATATATTTATAATTATAAATATTTGTAATATAATATATTTATGGAAAATAGATAGGAAAATCTATTAAAGAGAAAGGGAGAGATAGACTTTACTGTCACTCTATTCAACTACAAGGTCTATTACAAAGGTCTGTTGAAACACAGGTATACTACTTCTACATATTTAGACATTTATACTATCGACATCATAGACATGTGCTGTCATATGGTGTTTAAGGTAATAAAAAAGAAGTAAATAATGAAAGGGAACTAAAATTTAAATTATTTAATGTGGGATAATTTAAAATTTTAAAAAGTGATATAATTTTATTAAATCTTGTTCTTTTAAAAAATTTTAAATTTGAACACTGTTGTCTTTTGCTTATGCCGTCATTTATTTACTGTTGTTGAGAGCAAAACTTTTAAAATAAAGATAATTATTGGAATATGGCATTAGTGGTTAATCATATGTAAAATTTTGGTTAATTTCGTTTGACAGAAATTAGAGTTTGAAAACGTCAAATATGAATTTGTTTATATTTTTGGAAAGCTGAATTCGCAGCACAATATAAGCAATTCTTTGAATAAAAGAATATTGAGGAACAAAATGGCAGAATCTCTTTTTTCCTTTAAAAAGGCTGTTAATAAATCTAAATTTACTCGAAAAAGAAAGGAATCCTCAGACTCAGGTATGTGATAAACCCACAATATTGACACATACCAGTGATTTAAAATTTTTGCTCTGTAGGTTCCGAGAGCGATAAAAAGTTAGTTGTTGTGAGAACGGATAAAAAAAAGAAAAAACTAAATCCAAATATTCAAAGTACCAGTTTTCGAAGGGAAAGAAAAAGGCAAAAAAGTTCATCTAATTCTTCATCGTCTGAGGAAGAAAGTTCTGTTGCTGTGAGTTATAAATCTAACAAAAGTTTACAGCCTCTCGGTCCTAGTGACCAAGGTGCAACTGCTATAAATGAAGTTGAGACAGAGTTAGATCGTGACGCACAGGCAATATATCAGAAAAGTATTGAAATAAATAAAGAATTAGAGGGTAAGCCGGACGATAAAATTTATCGTGGTTTAAATAATTACACGCAGTTTTATAAAAAGAAGGACACTGCGGCAGGAAATGCCAGTTCAGGCATGGTGAGAAAGGGTCCTATTCGTGCGCCTGCTCATTTGCGTGCAACAGTACGATGGGATTATCAACCAGATATTTGTAAGGATTATAAAGAAACCGGATTTTGTGGATTTGGAGATAGTTGTAAATTCCTACATGATAGAAGTGATTATAAAGCAGGATGGCAATTAGAATTAGATTATGCGAAAGAACAGAAAGGAGAATGTGAATCAGATGGTGATGATAGTAAATACGAGATTCATTCCGATGAGGATTCTTTGCCATTTAAATGCTTTATTTGCCGTGAAAGCTTTGTCGATCCTGTGGTAACCAAGTAATTAATTTTATACAAGTATATTCTATATCAAACGTATATCCGTTTATAATTGCCTTTTTTTAGATGCAAACATTATTTTTGCGAAAAATGTGCATTGGAGCATTTTAAAAAATCCTCAAGGTGTTACATATGCTCCACCCAAACAAATGGTGTTTTTAATCCTGCAAAAGAATTAATAAACAGATTGAATTATGTGCAATCAGATAAGAATGAGAATTGTACATCAGACAGTGAATAAAACTACTATTTTATTATGTTGACAGTTTGTATTGTAAAATTTAATAAAAATTTTAAACTGAAAATTTTGTTCTTTAACTTATATCTATAATCTTTCCTTTTATTATGCATTCAAAGAATTCTTTAATAGAAACGTTGTTGAAATGTGTTTTTTTTGCTGGATAAATACTATTCTTTTTGGGTAATTTGGTTTTCAAACTAATTTTAAAAACGGAAGATGTTAAACAAAGATTCTCTTTTTTTACAATTTTTAGGAACTTTATATCAATATTATTAACATCATAATGAGTTAGAAATATACTGTCAATAAATTTGTCGATCGGTAATTCTATTATACCTCTACTTAAGAATAAGAGAATATAATTACTCAAATATATACCAAAACGGATGAATACAAATACTATGTAGTAAACGCATATCGTTGGCATTAAAAAAAGAAAGCATGTAAGAAACAAAGATACTAAATAATATTGTCGATTTTGCAGTTCAAATGATTCTACACGGTTCTTTAAAACATTTTCTTTTTTTCCAATAGCAGTTTTCCAAAAAACTTTAAGTCCAATTTTTTCGATGTTATATAAGAATGTTGTGTATATATAAAAACAATGTGCATGTATTGTTGTTAGAAATAATAGATCTGATAGTATAGCCAATTGAAATGAAAATCCCAATATTCCAAAAAGCGCCAATGGTATAAGTAAATTGCGAATTATTGGTGAAATCAAAATTAAGAATTTCGCCCACAAATCAATGTGATAAGTAAAACAATCCAGAAGAAAATTATTGAGTTGCAAGTTTAATTTCAAGCCAATTGGAGTTCCTTTAAGTGAATGTAACAAATTTCGTATTTGATAAACAATATATTGACAGATTTGTAATATTGGTTCATTTTGGTTTTGATTCAAATAACTAAATATAAAATACATAGTAACAAGACCTAATATTATATCAAATAATGTAGACCAACTCTTTTTCTCCTTCCTTATATGTTCTTTATAATAAAAAATGTGTTTCGAAAATGAAGATTGTTTGAAAAATTTTGCTGTGGGTAATAATTCACAAATTATAATCAATAATTTAAAAATAAACCTTTGAATTTTCAATATAAATAGTTCAGCTGATTTTTCTTTTTTACTTGCGCTGCAACATAATGTTTTCAAGAAATATAGATCAAAACCTTCGAAATATTTCTCGGAATCCGAAAATGAGATTTCTTCAAAAAGTTTTCTTTCATAGACGTAAATGTTACAATGAATTGAAGATCCTGGCGAAGACACATTTATGTGACTTAAATAAACACCAATTTCATCTGGATTATCGTCAAAATTAAATAATACAGAAACATCATGACTTTGGTTAGTCGAGTTTTTTTGAATATATCCAAGTAAACGAAAATTTTGCTTTGTTGCGTTATCTGATATAATAAAATATGAAATTAAATTAGTTTCAAATTTAATTTCTCCATAGAGCGGTATCTGGCATTGCTTCCCTTCATTAAACTGATATACTTTTTTTCTATGGTAAATATTTTCCGGCATAAAAATATTTATTATCATTTTATTTATTTTGACTAAATGTTGTTGAATATAAAAATTTCGAATTAAAATTGAAACTCACAAATGCTTTGCCTTAATTCTAGGCATCGAAATTACGTTTTGTTTATGGGTTTACCTATATTTATTATATACATATGTATGTAGGTTTCGATTTTTTTTTCTTCAGTTTTTATTTGTCTAAATTTTTGACATTTATTTTTTTAACAGTTAAGGTGAAATACCCAGCAACGAGCTCTCTTAACAATTTTTTTTTTAACTGAAAATATTTAGTTAAATAGCAATATTTAGAAAATACCTTTTAGCGTTATAAACGTAACTAACCTTTTTTATTTAAGTAAAAAAGGATTTAAAAAAAAAGAAATATGTAAAAAAGAACACCCCTTTGTCAGTGTATTGTCCCCAGTTGTACCCATTACAGAGCCATAAGAATTTACTAGTTATGAGAGTCCCAGATTTTAAAAAAGTTAGAGCTTCTAGAAAGAATATAAATTAACTAACGCAAATAAATATTATTTTTCCATGTTAACGAGAATATCTTATAATACAAAAATAAATAAAGTTTTACTTCGAATGTCTTTTATATTGCACATATTTTACAAATAAATCCTTTATTATTTGATTTTAGTAATTTACCTTTTTCAATCGTGCACTTACATGACTTTTGCCATGATTGTGAATTGAAGCACATTTTATTTCGTCATTTGTTTAGTTCTTTATTTTAATATTAACGTCAGTATTATACCTTTTATTAACACTGAATGTCTCTTGACCTATGTACATATATGTTATTTACTTCTACGAGATTTGAATTAATAACATAGAGGTCAAGTAATAACATATAGAAACCAAGTAGGGTCAAGGAAGTAGGGACAAGTTCCGAGATGAGATCTGAAACCAAGAGATAATCAGCCCCTTCATATCGTTTCCTTCCGTTTCGCACTCTCCGGCCTTCCCTGGTCCGGATTAAGGTGTTATACGATCCGCGCCGATTGTCAGCTTGGCTGGGAGTCCAGATAAATAGACCTGCTTCAAGCGTTAGTCCGAAGCCGAAGGTAAAAGATGCATCTCAACCTGGACCAAGTCGGTAATCACAAAACTGTGATATAGTCAAGAGTGAATGCATAGGCGAGGCTTTAGATATGCCTGTAGTCTAGCAGACTGGCTCCAGCGTCAAACGTATGCCAACGGCGACCATCAAGCCTTCACAAAGCCGTATGGGAAACGGCCGGTCAATGCAATCGGTGCGGCGCCGATAGATGCATTGATTTATGGATCCCTTGAGTCTCTAATAGAACACATGTTGTTAGGCAGGGCTATTAGGGCGAGTTTCGCCGAGCGGTCTTTTGGAAAAAGCACTCCTGAGGGAGGCGTGCTGTTCACTCATCTTCGGAATCTTGTATTAAATAAACTTTTGCTTCGCCTGGAAGAAGAGGTATACAAGGTGGTTGTTTACGTTGGCGTAGTTGTGGCGGTAAAACACCTACACGATCTAAATTGGTTGATTCAGAGAGCTGTCTGACTGGTCATATTCAGTAGGAAACGCAAAATAACAAATATGGGTCCGTCAAAAGTCAATTGAACGGGGATCTTTTTCTTCTCAGAGACTAGATTCTTAAGATTGACCTTGGACTCTATGCTTAATTGCGGGTCCAACATCAGCGAACGAGTGAAGAAAGCAACTACTGCGCATTACTTGCGCAAGAGAGCCATTGGGAGCATCGAGCCACGTATGGTTCACTTGCTCTACATCATAATGGTGAGATCTGTGCTGATGGAAGGAGTTCTGGTTTGGTGGCCTGCGCTGGGCAGGTCAATCAATATGAGACTTGCAAGCAAGGCCCAGGGGTTCCATACTGAAAACCAGTAGACATGTTGCGCAGGTTGTAGACCACGTCTCTCCTGTGCTTTCATTCGTGAGGAACTTGGGCACTTTGCTCCAATCAAAGCAAAACTGGGGGAGCGAAGGCGATATTTGGGAGGGTTCTGTCCACTTCAACTCGGATGGATCCAAGCTGGACGAAAGGGTCGGGGGAGGAGTCTACGTCAGAGAACTTGGGATTGAGATCTCCTTCGTCCTTCGGACTGCAGCGTCTTTCAGGCGGAGATAGTCGATATAGACGAGGTTATAGAATGGCTGGCGCGCAATGTAACATGCAGATATATAAGCATTTTCACCGACAGTCAGGCTATTATGGCATTGGAAGCGGAGACGTCCACATCAAGAACGGTCCGGGATTGCAGATAATTTCTTAACGAGATGGTGCAATTGTTCGAAATCAACCTGGTTTCGGTTCCGGGCATAGCGGAATCCAAGGAAACTGCAGGGAGGATGAACTCGCGAGGCATTGAACGACTCTTGGGGTCCCACTAGAAAAAGAAGAACTTGGGGATGTTTTAAAGTACGTGCAAGCTGTTGCTACGCAATGTGGCAATGGAACAAGAAAATAGCAGGTGGGAAAATGGGATAAAATGCCAGGCCACCAGACAACTTTGGTTTAGGCTGGATCTGCGTTACATGGCCGACCTGTTGTCTCTCCCTCGGCGTGACATGGCGCAGTGATAGGAGTTATAACTGAGTACTGTCTGATTGGCGAAGACGCCAGGAAGGATGAGCTCCTCTGCTTGTTTTCTGAGTTCATGCTGAGTTTTGGCATATAGAAGACCGAGGTTCCTTGGGTCGTATTTCTTCTTGAGAATTACCGACATGGCGAACCGGCTTATAAAGGAATCGGACTGGTTAACGAACCCAAGTGGCCCCGGATGACCACGCCGACCTAAACCTATCCTATATATTATTTATTTTGATGCTTAAAATAAATTACATATTACATATTTCGACCATTACTGTTGGTTGTGGTTATCGTCAGGATTTAGTTTTGAAAGAAATAAATTTTAAAATCTTAATTAAAAATTCCTAAACTGAACCCTAAAAATGATCAAAATATTAATGGTCGAAATATAGGACATGAGATTTATTTAAAAAATCAAAATAAATAATGTATTGGCCAGAAAGTGTAATATTAGGCTTGAATAAAAAAGGCTAATTTTATACAACAGAAAACACTAATTTAAAAGAATAATTAGTCGTTAATATGAAAATAACGTACACCAGCAATTTTATTTTAAAAAATGTATTTCAATTTCAACGGCTCGACACTAGATTTTCTATTATTTTTAATATTCCAGCTGTAGCCGACTTACTGAAATTACCCTTCAAATCTCCAGGTGATGACGGGATATATCCTGCATTTTTGCAGAGGGGTTTCCAACATATCGCTAGAGCACTGTTGGGAATTTTTCGCGCCAGCTATGCGTGGGGTTACATCCCTCAGGCATGGAGGGTGGCTAAAGTGACGTATATTCCGAAGGTGGGTAAGCGACCAAGCAACCACCCAAGGTCTTTCCGTCCAATCAGCCTTACTTCTTTTCTATTGAAAGCAATGGAAAAAGTGATTGATAGATTTATACGGGACGGTGCACTGGGAAGCAATCCCTTGCATGAATCTCAATACGCCTATCAGTCGGGAAGGTCTACTGTACTCGCTCTGCAGAGTCTGGTGGGGGTCCTTGAAAACTCACTGGAGGTGCGGGAGGTAGCAGTTGGCTGCTTCCTTGATATAGAGGGAGCTTTTGACAACACCCCATATCATGTCATCTGTGAGTCGTTGCACAAACGAGGGATTGATGCGACTACTAGCAGATGGGTCAATCGGATGCTACAGGATAGGATTATTAAGTCCACCATAGCTGACGATATACTCTTCATCTCCGCTGCAAAAGGATGTCCGCAGGGCGGGGTTCTTTCGCCCCTCCTGTGGTCCATTGTAGTGGATGATCTAATAGCTGCTCTCAGGGGCTCCGGGGCGCGTGTCTGGGGATACGCTGACGATGTGGCCTTCGTCGTGCGGGGAAAATTTGAGAGCACTATTTCTGATCTTCTACAGCAAAATTTACGTGTTGTGGAAAGGTGGTGCAAAGGCGTTGAGTTAAATATAAATCCAAGCAAGAGCACTTTGGTCGCCTTCACCAGACGCAGAAGCAGGGACAGGTTAACGAGCCCAATTCTGTTTGGTGAACGTATTAGTTACTCGAGGGAGGTGAAGTATCTGGGGGTAACCCTGGATGATCGTCTCTCTTGGAATACCCATATCGATAGAGTTATCGGGAGAGCTACGGCGGCCTTGTGGACGTGTAGAAGTTTCATCGGGGGGACCTGGGGAATTAGTCCCAGAATAGCACTGTGGCTATATACGGCCCTTGCTAGGCCCATCGTCACCTATGCGTCGATTGTATGGTGCCGTAAGGCTCAGCAGGCGGGTGTGCGGGCCAAGCTGGAAAAGCTACAGAGGCTGGCCTGCCTGGGAGTGACCGGGGCGATGCGGACGGCTCCCACCGCTGCATTGGAGGTGATGATCGGATTGCCGCCACTGCACCTCCATATATTGAAGGAAGCTCGGCTGGTGACTTACCGACTTCTCTCTGGCGAGGACGGGGCAGGGCTAAAGTTGGCCCACAGAACTCACAGAGACTTCATAGAGGGCGATCCGATTCTAAGGATAACCATGTCAGATACCTGTCTGCCGCGGTACAACTTCGACCACAAGTACAGGGTTCTGTTTCCTGATCGATGGACGTGGGATCGGGGTGGTCCGGTACTTAGGTCGGGTTCGAGCGTGTGGTATGCGGACGGGTCCAAAACGGAGTCGGGGGTGGGCTCGGGCGTATACGGTGTCCGCCCGGACACGCGTGTATATGCAACCCTTGACCCGTATTGCACAGTGTTCCAGGCCGAAATACATGCAATAGAAATCTGTCTGAGAATCAATTTGGAAAGGGGGTATAGAAATCGCACCATCTATGTGTTCTCAGACAGCAGGGCTGCACTGCTGGCGCTCCGTTCAGCTCAGGTTACATCCAAGCTGGTCTGGAGCTGCCTTGCTGCACTTATGGAATTGGCATCGGAAAACAGAGTGATGCTCATTTGGGTGCCGGGCCATAGTGGCCATGCGGGCAACGAAGTTGCCGATGAGTTGGCGCGGAGGGGATCTGGGGCTGCCTTTGTGCAGCCGCTGCCTTTCTGTGGTCTGCCTTCTTCCGCCGTGGGGGC